CCGATCGATTCATAAATATAAGTGGTTAACTACGATGGGCAGCGAACCGCCAGCCTCTCAAGGGTGATGTTAGGGCTCCAAAATGAAGTGATAAAATGATGAGATTGCATCAACAATGCATTACTATGAAAGTTTGTTGCTCGTCTGGATAACTATGTGATGAAAATATCGAAGCGACTTTGATTGATGGTCAAGTTTACATTGTTGTACGGACCTCGCAATGTTGAGCACAGCTACCAAAGCTTTTTTCAAGAGGGCATTACTCCTGCACACCGTCTTGTTGTCGTGCTGGAATTGCATGCTCCACCCAGTTCACAATCTTCTGTGATCAATGCGCTCACTCTATCGCGTTGAAGAAACGTGAAATCGGTTTATCGAGGAGGTGGGCCAGGGGCCGCTGTACGAACCTCTGGAGGAGTTCAAGAAAGAATGAAACTGTGTCACAAGATACCATCGGACGGTTGATAAGAAATATGACTTCACGAGCAATTGATTTTATACTTATATTTGAGTAGATGCGGCGTTTTGGGGGAACAATAAAGCCCAATTTACGTCGGTGATAGAGAATAGAAAGTGCATCGGGAAAGCGTTGGCAGTGACTGAATCCCAGACGGTAGGAGGCAGATCAAAGGTGAAACGAATACCTATTCACAGTAGATGTGTGAAATTGAATTGAATGGGAGTTGGCCAATAATTATACAACGAGAAATTAGTCGATGCGTTCATTTGTTGCCAAGGTCTGATATAATGTCCATTTTGCGACCGGTTTCACAGATTTCGCTCTTTCAATCGGTCCCGGCTTTCCTCACTGTTATGAATAAGAGCTGGAATACACGGCGTGGTTTATTTTGGAATGTAGGTAATGCTACTGCCAACTGAGAACTATAATGCAAGGACTGGCTGGTTTTATCTGGCACCATTAAAGATTCCACTACGATACATTAATACATGGTCTGCTGTGTACTGAATACGCGGCGAATACTGTGCATTTCGAGCGTTTCATACACACACACACAGTCCCAAGCGAAATCCATCTCTGAAACACGTATTCTTCTTTAGAGAATGCACCTTGATTGATCTTCTCCCGTATCACTTCGCCAAACAGAATAGCGAACGATTCACTTCCGTCCACTGAGTCATGTTATATGACCATTGTATGTAGCCGTTGGAAATTAGCTCCACTTTTTGTCATTATATAATTTGCCATTTTCTCCTCTTTACACTTGGCCTTCCATCATGGACAAACACGTTGAGTCGGTTTTTCGTGAATCATCCGCGATGTTTACCTTTCCAATGGCTATCATATTTCTGAATTAGCCGGAAAATGAGCATTTTCGGTACACACACAGCAGTATTATATTTGTTTAGGTAGACTTGCTAGGAAAGTTCTCGTCAATTCTCGTTTATTTTTCACTCAAACCTGAATATGATACAGATGGCATGTAGCACAATTTTGTTATAATTTCGTTACATACCAGGCAAAAAAGATTGGTGCTTTTCAGATTTGTTGATTGTGAACCTTGACTTCTCAGGCAGTAGAAACAATGAAGTTCATTCACTTTATGGATCAGTTGCCGCTATACAGTAGACAAATGTAAATGTTTAACTGGTTCCTGTTTTCGTGGTTTCGAAATGTGCTTGATTTGTCTGTTTTTCGTTCCTTGGCGGCCGTTTGTGATTCCCATCTGACCCATACAATAGTGCATTCATGAAATTGATTTTGGCTGTTTGCTTTAAATTAGTGATTGATCGCCGTATGCGGCTCATCTAAAAAAGATTATTTCTGATGTTCTTAGATCTACTTTAGAGCCGCAAACACGATACACGAGTGAACCTGGGGATGTGGTGCTTTACTTAAACTCGAATTACCTTGGTGTCAACCAAGTATTAATCATCGTTATTTAGCATTTATGAACGCTACTTATGAATTTATGACCGAATAAATGTAAACCTATTTCATCATTTACCAGGCAGGTTCTATCCTATGTTTGACGTCACCCTATGGCATCGTTTTCCATTTTCAACGCGTCATCTGTATACTCATCTATTTCGTTATCCCTTCTTTCTACGGATATAGTATAATTGTATGAGTAATCATGTGGTCCACCGATTCTGTCTAATCTTCCCTCTGTGCTTTCGAGGTATGACTGTACACTGAAGAGTATATGCCTGCACATACCTGGGACCCTGTCCCACTGACGACACGTGTTGACGTATACGACTACTGTTTGAGGCAGAATGACATCCGGCACCGAAACTACATGATTTGTGTCATCGACACGTTCTGGCGCACTGTTGATGTATTGTACACAGATCACATATTAAAGTGCTCCGATTGGTCTGCTTCATATCTCTGAGTGCAACGCCCTGTGTGTGTTTGTGTGATTTTCAGGTCACACCCGGTCACGATGACCGTTTTCAGGCCTTGGATACTGAAGTTTGGTTGTCTGTTGCGCATTTAAGAATTTGAATTCGAGTTCTAACCCCAGTTTGAAGAAGCGACGCAATCAAGCACACGAAACCTTAGGTTTCTGTTTTTGTCAAATCCAATAAAGCTCCTAGTTTACATCTGTGTTCACCAAAACACCAAATCGATGCAGCTGTGGCTTGAAATTTAACCTATCCTAGACACGAAAACCCTTTGCCGATCGATTTTTCTCGCGCTTCAATCGCTTGATCCTTTCATACTACTACCATCCGTTCACACATTCCTGCTGTTATCATGATTTGATTCTTAATCCCTTCCCTCCACAACATAATACATAATCACCTTGGTGAGCCACATCTTACCAATGGTTTTGTCTTGTCTGTGGCTCACAGATCTGTTTTGATCTAGAATTGACGACTAACTTTCAGTCTGCTATAAGTTTGGACGGGAGTTTACAAAGCATTCTGCGAGTCTTGATTGTTTTTCTGTTCATTGATTCTATCTTTCCCTTGTATTAATATGTGATATTCCGTCCTATTGTTCAACTCTCTCAGATTTCTTTTGCTTGGTTCCACCTTCCATCAACACCAACACTGTCATTCTGTACTTATCTCTGATTCT